TCCCAGCACTTGGGAGGCTGAGGTAGGAGAATTACTTGAACCCGGGAGGCGGAGGTTGCAGTGAGCCGAGATCGCGCCATTGTACTCCAGCCTGGGCAACAAGAGCAAAACTCCATCTCAAAAAATATATACATATATATACACACACACATATTTTTTTTTCTTTGCTATGATGGATATTACTGGGATAATTGGTGAAATCTGAATAAGGCTATATAACAGTAAAGGGGCATAATGTCTACAACTTTCAAATAACTCAGGAAAAAAGTGTGTGTGGAGAGATAATACAAACAAATGTGGCAAAATGTTAACATTTGGAAAATTTGGGTGAAGGTTGTAGGAAATTTTTTATACTATTCTTACCACTTTTCTGTAAGTCTAAAACTATTCAAAATACAAAGTTAAATAATTGCAACTTCAGGAAGCCACCAACCCCAGCTCCCCAGATTCAGGAGGTTCTCTGGTAACTGACAGATTACCAGAGGGCCCCCTCCTGGCCCTGCTTCCTAACAAACAGCATGGTAGACAGGGAATCTAGGGGTCCATGAGACTACAGCAGGGAAGAAGCTCACTCTTGGGCGTGGCTACGGGAGTCTCCAATGCCCACAGGATCCCATGCATGCCCCCTCCAACACACACACTGGTGCACAACCACAGGCAGTGACTTGGGACCCCCAAAAAGGATAAGCTTGTGGGTATGCAGAACTGGGCAGCATAGTGAAGGGAATGGGAGGCATTTCTCATGAGGAAGAGTAAAAAGAACAAGATGGAGAACTTGGGAAGAGAAGGCTGGGCAGCAAAGGGAAGGGCGGGAGGCACTTAAGAATCACCGTAAGCCAGGTGTGGGGGCTCATGCCTGTAATCCCAGCACTTTGGGAGGCCGAGGCAGGCAGATCATGAGGTCAAGAGATAGAGACCATCCTAGCCAACATGGTGAAACCCTGTCTCTACTAAAAATACAAAAATTAGCTGGGTGTGGTGGTGCACACCTGTAGTCCCAGCTACTTGGGAGGCTGAGACAGAAAAATCACTTCAACCCAGAAGGCAGAGGTTGCAGTGAGCCAAGATTGTGCCATTGCACTCCAGCCTGGAAACAGAGCATAACTCCGTCTCAAATAATAATACTTGTAGACATGTGTCATGCAAAAGAGGAAGAAGATTCAGTCTATTCAGAGGTGTAAGAAGACAAGAGGCTGGGCGAGGTGGCTCACACCTGTAATCCTAGCACTATGGGAGGCCCTGGCAGGTGGATCATCTGAGGTCAGAGAGTTCACGATCAGCCTGGTCAACATGGTGAAACACCATCTCTACTAAAAAATACAAAAAATTATCCAGGCGTGGTGGTGGGCACCTGTAATCCCAGCTACTCGGGAGGCTGAGGCAGGAGAATTGCTTGAACCAGGGAGGCAGAGGCTGCAGTGAGCCAAGATCGCGCCACTGCACTATACCCTGGGTCACAGAGCAAGACTCTGTCTCAAAAAGAAAAAGAAAAGACAGAAGAAGTCCTAGGCAGAGGCACTGGGAGGCACACACCCAGGCCTCTAGAATTCTGGCCCCAGGGGGAAATTAATAGCTGCTTCTGCTGTCAGGTGGGAGTGGGGCCACCTGAAGGCAAGTCTACCTAGGTCTTTCCCCAGGTCTTAAGGCTGGATTGTCTTATTGAAGGGAAGGGAGTAGCCCTAGCTGAAAAGAAGTAGATCCCCAAGTCCAAAACAATAGAGAGGCTCATCTCCAGACCTCAGCTCCTCTCTGTGGATGACTTTATCCAGTCTCCTGGCTCCTGGTGTAGAATAACATCCACACCCTGATTACTCTCAAATTTCTATTTCCATCTCAGACTACTCCCCAGCACTGGACATCCCTCTGCGGGCATTTCACAGCCATCTCAAACTGAACGTGTCCAAACTCCTCTCTAATCCACGTCCCACCTACACCTGTCCTCCCACAGCTGTCCACAGTTCAGAAATGGCAGTGCCATCCTTCCAGCTGCCCAAGCCAACTTCACAGCCATCCTTGACTCTCCTCTTCATCCCTCTCCTCCATACCTAATCCTTCTGCAGATTCTGACAATCTGACCATTTCTCACCACCGCACCACCGCCACATGCTCCACTGAGCCATGTGTGTGTGTGTGTGTGTGCGTGTGTGTGTGTATCTGTCTCTCACTTCTGAATTGCTGCTGTTTCCTCCTCTCTGATCTCGCTGCTTTCACCCTTGCCCCCCTGCGTCTGTTCTCAACATAGCAGCCCTTTGCAAACAAACACTTCGAGTCACTCCTAGGCTCTGAACTCCCAACCCTTCTCATCTTGTTCAGAGTAAAAGCCAATGGCCTTGGCCTTGTGTAATTACTCATGATCCTTGGGACCCCTGGGTTTCCCGCCGGTGCTCCTCCCCCCTCCCCTGCTCCATCCCTGCAACTCCTCCATCGCACAGCTGTCTTCACACTTCCCCAGACACCCAAACAGCTACCTCCCCCACAGCCTCCAGGTGTGCCCATTTGCCCACCACCACCTCTGCAGTGAGGCCTTCCCTGTGCACCCTATTTAATATGGCAACCTCTCCCCACCAACCTTCCCTCTTCCCCTCTCCGGGCTACATTTTTATCTATTTAACATGTTTTCTCAGGTTTGTCGTTCTTCCCTAAGATGAGCTCCTTGAAACAAGGACTTTTTGTTGCAATGTCTGGAAAGGGCCTACCCTAGAGCAGGCACTCCATAAGTGCTGGCTGAATACACAGAAATCATCAAGGCTGGCCGGGCACCGTGGCTCATGCTTGTAACCCCAGCACTTTGGGAGGCTAAGGCGGGTGGATCACCTGGGATCAGGAGTTTGAGATCAGCCTGGCCAATATGGCAAAATCCTGTCTCTACTAAAAACACAAAAAAATTAGTGAGGTGTGGTCGCATGTGCCTGTATTCCCAGCTACTTGGGAGGCTGAGGCAGGAGAATCGCTTGAATCTGGCAGGCAGAGGTTGCAGTGAGCCGAGATCGTACCACTGCACTCCAGCCTGGGCAAGAGAAGGACTCTCAAAAAAAAAGAAAAGAAAGACAAGAGGAGAGAGGGGAGAGGAGGGGAAAAGAAGAGAGGGGAAGGGAGAGGAAGAAAGGAGAGGGGAAGGGAAGGGAGGGGAGAGAAGGAGAGGGGAGATGGAAGGGGAACCATCAAGGCCAGTGTTCGTGGGCTCTGGGTATGGAGGGACACCAGATGCAGGCAACTACACAGGTGCCCTGATGCCACCGACCAAGGCCCTATGAACTTCACAGTCCTGGACAACAGAGCCTTCAGCAGATGGAGTCGAGCGCAGGGACCCTCACCACTTCTCCAGCACCACGTGAGCCCTCAGCTCCTGGCGCAACAAAAGGGAGCAAGGCAGCCAGGGAAAACGACTCATGTTGGGTTTCTCAGCAACCCTGGAAACTGGTGGCTTGGAGTCAGATTTTGTGGGGTTTAGGAAAGTAAATGAATGCGGTGGGTTCTTTGGTTTTTATGGGGTTTTTTGCATCTGGAATGTTGGCGAGCAATTCATTGTGGAAGTTCCAGGGGTAGTAGGTTTTCTGTGGGCAAAAACAGCAGACACCCCTGTCCAAAAGGTAGATAATCTACAGGTCCCACTGGCCTCAGACATTTGCCCTGGTAAGGCTGGCCCATTGGCTCCCAGGAGTTCAGACTCTCCCACAAAAATAGAAGGTCCTGGAGCAGAAGGCACACAGTAAGTGAGGAGACAACATAAGGCCTCCCCGAGGAAGTGCTGTTAATGGTGAGAACTGCAAAAATAGAGGAGTTAGGCAGGCTGAGGAGGAACTGGGGAAAGGAAAAAAACTGGGCAGAGGAAAGAGCACACGCCAAGGCCAGGGACAGGCTCACACCTGGAACAAGAAAGGACATGCGGCAGGTGTGGCTGTGAGGGCAGGGCCTGAACATGTGTGTCGGGCACTGGCCAGCTCACTGATGGCCCCAGAAGCCTCGTTACCAAGTCTGAACTTTAACCTCAGGCACCAAAAAGTTCCAAACAGAGAGAGCTCATCCCAGCTATTATGTAAGAAATGGATTAGAGGGGGCCAAGCATGGTGATTCACACCTGTAATCCCAGCACTTTGGGAGGATGAGGCAGGCGGATCACCTGAGCTTGGGAGTACAAGACGACCAGCCTGATCAACATGGAGAAACCCCATCTCTGCTAAAAATACAAAATTAGCCAGGCATGGTGGCGCACGCCTGTGATCCCAGCTACTCAGGAGGCTGAGGCAGAAGAATCGCTTGGACCCAGGAAGCAGAGTTTGCAGTGAGCCAAAATAGTGCCATGGCACTCTAGCCTGGGCAACAAAAGCGAAACTCAGTCTCAAAAAAAAAGGATTAGCAGAGGTGGCCAGGCTGCAGGGAGAGGGCTGGAGGCTGCCCTAGAAATCCTGGCAGGAGATGGGGCCTGGCCCAGAAGGCTGCAGTAAGGATGACTCCGAGGATGTTTGGAACGCAGAACGGGCAGGCCTGGGCAGCTGATGAGATCACTCCAGTTACTGGCTTGTGTGACAGACACATGGGTAGTCAAAGAACGCTGACTCAGGGCAGGGGTAGGAAGGGCATAGGTTTGGGTTTTGTCACGCAGTCTGTATGAGAGGCCTCATAGGCAGCTGGACTCAGGCCCACGTGGGCTAGAGTCATGGACTTGGGAACTGCTGAAGTGAGTGTGGTGATTAGAGCCCTGGGAGTAGGTGGGAACACTCAGGGAGGAGAATTCAGTGAAGGAATGAGAGCCTCAGGAAGAATGCCACCACCAAGGGATGGCCCAGAGGAGAGACACCCAGAAAGAAGACTGAGGAGGAGCAACCAAGGGCAGAGGAAAGCCAGGAGGGCAGGATGCAAAGGCCAAGGACAGAGGGAGTCTCTAGAAGCAGCGGGTGGTCAGTAGCATCCTGGGAAGTAACGCTGGCTCCACATATGTGACCAGACGTCCACACCCTTGGCCTTCCGACACCCCCCACCATCAAAGACCACACATGATCTAGAATTTAATATATGTTTATTTGTGTAGTAGGAACATTCAGGTATATAAATAAGGTAAATGCTTTCCAATGTACAGTATATCATGTCCTTACATTGTGTGGAAAAAGAAGCTACACGTATTGTTCAACACAGATCACGAGTGCACAGAGGGAGATCAGCTGCATTTAGTGAAACGCCAAGTTGGGGAAATGGCACAGCAGTAGCGCACAGGCACACACCTATCTGGGGAGGCTGTGGGGACTGTCACGTGAACTCTGCACACCGAGAGCTGCTTCAAGGTCGCCCGTGTCTGAGTGCAGGAAAAGTGAATATCAACACCCAGGTTATCAGGGTTAGACAACTGAATTCCACCATGTCCATCCACTTTACAAAAGGGCAGGGGGCACCACAGAGAAACTGACCAGAAATGCTCTGCCCTGTCACAGAGGAGACAGGGCCAGGGCAGACACAAGGCTGACCTCTGGGAGGCACAGACACTGGCAGTGATGGGTCCCATGGGACGCCTGGCACTCCCAGCAGACAGCTCCCCTAAGGAGGTGGGGAGGCCATTTCTGTGTCTGGGAACTTTCTAGTTAAACAAATCCTCAGAGTGGAGAGAATTAAGAAGGATGTCCACAGCTGTGCATAACTCAACCAAAAAACACCAAGGTTCCCGTGATCCTTCAACAGAGGGGCTTGCCATCTGATCTCACCCTCCTGTTTTAGGTGTTAAACATCAATAAAAATTAAAACTTGGTGTCAGCATCAACTCTAGAAGATAACCCATGGCTTCAAATCTCCCTGGACAGGTTCTCTGAGCCCAGATTTCTGGTCCCCAACTCACATGACATCCAGGGTCAGCGAGCATTCAGCTGGCCCCTGTTGAAAGACTCTGCCCTCCACTGTGGGACTCCTGGCCCCTCCCTGGCCCCCGTGTTCCTCCTGCTGCTGCCCCTATGAGTCCTCCAGCTGGATAACAATAAACCAAACCACTGTCTCCTAGTCCCTGCCTTGTTCTCCTGACTCCTAGTCCTTTGATTTCATTGGCTCCTGATGTCTGTTCAACTCTTCCCCTTTGCAATCAGCCCCTACCACCCAGCCAGCATGGCGTAAGACAGAAAAACAGGGTTTACTAAAGGCCGGAGCCCTGTGCATGGAGGATTTAAAAGAAACAGCACACAAAGGACACTCATAAAAAACATGTATGCACATCCTGCCTGCTAGAAAACATTCTTAACCCCTTTTCTACTCTGGTGTTCCTTTAAGAAAAGCCAGCATAAAAAGTACAAGAACCTAACGCAGGTGAAAAAGAGGCATCCAAACGGCGAGGACAGAGAAGGCTATGTGGATATTATCAGCAAACAGTTTCACTAGACAGAATCACCAGGTGGCTAACCCCACCAAGTGCTTTATGCAGGGAAGTCCTCTGGGGGCTGCAAAGGGCTAGGCTCTGCCCAATGTCCGGGAGACGACTGCAAGAGCTTTCTCTGCTTGATTTCCAGAGGGCCCTTACCCCCAAGAGTGAAGGTTGTCTATGGATACAAGGCTGCCTGGGTCCATTCAACAGCACAATGAGGGAGGAAGGGCCAGGCCAGGCAAACACAAACCCAGAAAGGAGAGAGGGCTCCGGGGCAAGCCTGGGATTGGCCCATCATAGCAGCTGCTTCCTAGAACCCCCTAACCATCTTCTCCTGGTTCATGGTATTATCATTACTTCATTAATTCACTGAAGCAGAGAGACCATTATTTCCATATATTAATAGCAATGTGCTCTTGGGTCCCACTAATACCCAGGAAATAATCCACAGTCAAACCAGTAGTTCAAAGTTATTATTCAATTAACTAGAATTCCATGGATCCTGTTAGCCAACACCATTCCTTCAAAGTGAAGTGGCCTCCCCTTACACACACACATGCCACAACTCCCCATCCCCCTTCAGAAAACTAAGTTAAAAAAAACTCTTCAGGCCAGGCATGGTGGCTCATGCCTGTAATCCTAGCAATTTGGGACGCCGAGATGGGTGGATCACCTGAGGTCAGGAGTTCAAGACCAGCCTGGCCATCATGGTGAAACCCCATCTTAAAAAAAAAAAAAGAAAGAAAGAAAGAAAGAAACTCTTCATTCAGTCTTGTGCCTCTTCTCCCTTCATTTATGAGTCACCCATCTGAGTCTTTGCTAACATAAAATGTGGGAGAAATACCTCACATCATGTGTCCTCAATGGGTCACCCACTTCTATCTGTTACTACTTTTAAGAAGGAAACATGAAGCTCCAGATTGGCTGAGTCATAAGGATGTGGGCAGAGCTTCTAGGCTTTTAGTCTACATAATCCCCTACAAAGCAGGTTTCTGTTGTCCCCACTCTTCTTGGCCCCTGATAACATCCACCCATATAGGGAACTGCTGCAGGTTCCTGAGCTATGTGCACAGAACACAGCCCTTGGCCAGAGGGGGAAGTGGGGTCCACAGCAAGTCACAGACAGGCCCTCCTTGCCCAGAGGGGAGGCACCACCAGGCAGAAAAAGACGGCCTCCTTCCCACAAGCAGTCCAGACCATGGGCAGAGGAGGTGAGCTGGAGTCTCAGGCCAGCCATTCCCACTAAGAACAGAACTTCTGCACACCCTCATGTCCTCTTGCATCTTGTTAGGCTGGCCTCCTAAAGGTGTGTGAAGCACCAAGATGCTTCAGAGGATGTTAAGGCTGGCCTGCTTCTCTCAGAGGGACCCAGGCTGTGTGCAGGGTGGTGTAGTGCGGTGGCTGAGAATCCCATCTCTGGCATTGCACCAATGGAAGTCAAACTACCAGCTGAGCTCAACAAAAGTAACTACCATTTATTGAGCACTTACTATGTGCCCGGCACAGTGCTAAATGCTTACATGCATGATCTCATTATACCCTCACAACCACCCCGGGAAGAAGGTAATATTATCAGACCCAACTGACTTAAAGGTTGAAGCTTAGAGCAGCCTAGTAACCTGCCCGCACCTAGAGTGATTTGATCCCAAAGTCTGTCTTCTTAACCACTGCTCTCGGTCTCAGTCGTACTGCCTCAGTTTCCTCATCTATAAATGGGGATAATACCTAATTCAAAGGTTGTTTTCCAGATTAAAAGGGATAATGTATGTAAACCCTTGGCACTATGCCAAGCACATATTAAGCACTATACTGTTGCTATCCTTATTAATAAACACACTGATATCTCATTGGCTCATGAATAAGAAGAGAAGGTGCCTCAGTAGGTAGGCATTTGATGGAGAAAGGAAGGGGAGGGTTGGGAAGAGGACAGGGTCTTTAAACAGCCAACAAATTCAAAACCCACTGGCCACAAAACCCTAGACTTCACATATTCTGCCCTTCTATTCTCATAAACCATCTACATGTCCTGAAAGCCCCAACACTTCAGCATCCAAAGGATAACCTCCTAAATTGCAACGTGTCCTGGGAAACATGGTCCCCATACAAACAGGTGACAGCTTTAATCAAGAAATAGCCCCAGGTGAGAACAGCCTCCATCCACCTGAGAGGCCACAGAAGGCCACTGCTGGTCAACCTGAAGAGTGGGGGCATGTTCAAATGGCAACAGCAGCCGGGACTCTTCTGAGAATAGGGCCCACCTTCTGCAGGGATGTGGATGAGAACAGTCCAGGCTCAAGAAAAGGTGGGCCAGGCAGAGCCCTGAGATAAGAATCCTTCATCACCACTTGGTTTAAACCCTAGAACCCCATGCAGGTTGTGGCACAAGACCCCCACCCAAGGAGAGAAACTGAGTCAGAAAATGAGAGTTGTTCATCTCTTTAAAAACTGGCTGCTGGGCAAACGTGTGAGGGTGATAAAGGGAAAAGGAACTTTGTTTTGACCAAGACAGGGAAGAATATGAGGCTCTGCCCAAGTATTAGCCACCATCTTCAGGAGCCCACAGTTTGGTCCACCTGCTCCTTGGAGCCCTGGGTTCCAAAACACAAGTGAGAATCCATCCGTAGCTTACTGTCTTGCAGTATGTCCACAAAAGTCACCTGGACATTCTCCCTACCCTGACCTCAGAAGAACAGGAACCTCGGTCCAAGTGAAATTGTCCACCTCCCAACTTCACCCTTTTCTTAGCACGTAATCAGAGTGCAAGAAAGGTGGGCCCAGGTGTGTTACTCTGGAAGACAAAAGACAACAGTGCCTAAGATATTACCAAAACAGGGAGAGGCTTTAGCAGTGACATACCACATTTAGTAGAATGATGAAAATCCACTTCCTTGGACATGCATCTAAGGCTGGCTTTGTAACTAACAAGGCCCCTGCTTCACAGTTTTCTGAGCAAGGACACTCCATCCCAAGTCATTTACACCCTTCCACTACCCAACTCTGTCAACAGTGGACACGGACTTGAGCCAGCCAAGGGCTCACTGACAGTGTGACGATCTCAACTCAAGGATCCATTCAAATAAGGCTCCAGTCAACTCAGCAACTAGCTCAGCCCCAAATCACAAGGTCTATGTAGTCCCCCTTAAAACATATTTTTGGGATTTTCTTGCATGATATAGGTCAAGTTACAGGATAAAAACCCAGTGGAAAAAAAATCTATAAAAATGGTTTCAAAGTCCACCTGTGTAAAGTCAAAAGTTATATCCCCCAATGAAAGAGACTAGTTTCAAAGCATGTGAAACTAGTTCTCATACATTATAGGGATGTATAATACTAAGAGTAATTACATTTTAAATGCAAAATACTGTAGCTACTAAAACTCCCAGAATACGAAATGAGCTAAGACGGTTTCACTTTCAGGGATAAATATAAACGGAACCTTTTTAAATATGAAAAGCAGTTAAGCAGCAGCATGCAAACACACAAAAGGCAAAGACTCAGTGTCCTGTAAGCAGTCATGAGCAGAGCTCCCAGGGGCTGGGGGGATGCCCATCAGCCCTTGTTCATCAACTCTTTATACTACCAGGTAGGAGCCAACAGCAGTTTAAGCTCCAACCTGGCTCAGGCCAGGCCTCCTGAGCTAGAGGAAAGCTGCAACACCTCAGTGTACTCACAACACACAAAAGCAAGCGGGGCTGGGAGACTCTCCAGATGTCCTGTGGGTAAAGCGCAGGATGGAGTGATTCCCGACTCCACCACACTATCCTGGGGAAGCGCCCTGCCTGGTAAGGTGCTCATGACTCACATCCAAGGTAAGAAGGCTGTTGTGAGAATGTAGGGATACAAGCTGGAAAGCAAAGCAAAAGTCTCTGAATGAGGACTATGCAATATTTATGAATACATAAACAAATGGGAAGCATAAAACTACAATGAAAGTAATAAGCAGGGCATTCACAATGGAGGGCACACAGTTGCAGTCACATTTTATTTCCAACCAAAAAAAAAAAAAATGGGTCTACAGCAAGTGATGCCATTCATTAAGATCTGAATGTATATACATAAAAATAGTTTCTTGAATCTTGTCTGTGAATAGGCAAAATGTGCTATATATGGACACAAGGTGGCGACACTCTCCTAGCTACCTGATGAAAATTCCTCATCTCCAGAAAGCATGCAGGGGAAATCAGAAAATAAAACACAAGCTGACCCTCTGGCCTGCCTGCTAGCAGCTCTAGTGAGCACCCAGCTTTGGCTTCCTAGGTACCACCTTCTGCACCCCACCCCCTACCCAGTGACCACTTCCACAAAGGAACATGAGCCTTGCCTGGTATGCTCAGCTCCCTGATCCCAGAGGCAGCCCTATTCAAGAGCAGCTCTCTGCAGCCAGGGCCCCAGCTGAGACTCCCTCCTCTCAAGGAGCCCACCATATGCCCACAATTGGACAAAAGAGACAAATAAGGAGCCCTTTCGGTATCTAGTTTGGTGATCCAGGTTCGTTGTTCAATCTGAAAACTACAGTTTCATTATCGATCACCTTCACTGTTCAGGTGTGCTGCTGAGATACCTATTCACCTTGAGGATAAGCATGTAAGGGCCTGAAAGCACTACCCATTTGGGGGTGCCCAGGACCTCACTCAGTGAGCCTCTAGTGACATGAACTTGCTCAGCCAAAATCGCAAAAGAGTGGAATTGGGAGTAGCTCTGAAAAAGAGGCCCTTGAGAGTGATGCATCCCACCTGGGGTCACACAGTGAGTACTGAAATGAAACCCTGAAACCCCTTGCAATAATATATTTTGTTTTTAAGGAGCCTTGGACCTGAATAAGAAAAGCCACAAGGCTGAAATGGAAATACAAGTTCAGAGGAAAGAAGCTGCTTCAGCCCCGCACGCACGTGTGAGGTCACTCAGGGATATGTGAGCTGAAACATCCTGGGGCTCCATCCTCTCCTGGAGGCTCCAGAGACCTGGGCTGACTGTGTGCTTTCAGGAAGGTGATGAGGCTAATTTACAAACAAACCCACCACAAACCAGCACTAGACCAAGGTGCTGAAACAAGTAATTACACCCTCATTGGCAATGAAAACATCCATGGCACGGAATAATTTAATATATTTGGGCACCAAGTTCTCTCTCACGCACTCCATTGCTTGTTGGCCTGACAAAGAACTAATCTGTCTTCCCAAAGTCAATCTCACCCCTGAAATTAGGGAGGGGAAAAAAAAATCACAGTTTAAGCAAACAACAACAACAAAAGGTCCCCCAGTAAAATACAAACTACATTTAAATTGGTCACATTATATTAAAAGTATGCATTTAATCTTAAAAATAGTCAAGCCTCTAATCAGGTTAGCTTTTCCATAGTTTCAAGCAGGACTTTGTGGTTTCAGTGAAGAAGTCATGGTACAATTGAAATCACTGTAAGAAATAAGTGACTTTTAAAATAAACAGACACACACACTCCTCTAAAGAGTAATATATACATACACAGCAGCTACATGGGTGTTCAAGCAAAGGGTACATGAACGAGAAGCCCTCTGCTCCCTGCCCAATGGGAAAGTCCCCAGAAAGGATTCAGCAGCAGCAAGTCTACAGCACAAACGTGGATGGCATCATCCCTGAAAAGACACGGTTAGGTGGACTTGAGACACTGGAGCCTAGACATGTGGGAAAGGGCTCAGTTACAGTACATTCTACTGCATATACTTGAATTATTACAGTGTGTTTTTTTCTCCAGACTATTATAAATAATTTTTCGTGCTTTCTGAAAAAAATAAAAACTGAAACTTTCAGTCTGCGATGAAGGTGAAACCATCTTATAAAGCAGAGCTTAGTTACATTCTGCATGATTTTGGTGTGGATAGAAGGCTTATCTGGTTAGTAAGCCTTCGTTCCTCCGACCTACGGAAGGCAACTCTTCTGCAGCTCAAAGCAGGGATTTCTAGAAAAGACCAGGTGTACAAGACATCCAAGCTGTGCCTCCCCACACAGGAAGGGAAGCCCCCTGATTTGGTCAGACACAGATGAATGTCTGTGTCTGACTGAGCCCAGAAATAGTTCAATTGATGGGGGCTGGAACTACCACAAAAACATTCCTGACCTGGGCAACACTGTCTTCCAGATTATTGATACTTTTGTTTAAAAAAAAAAAAAAATGGTTTTACCCCGATGACCTCTTTCCAACTCAAAGCTGTAGTTTACTTACAACATAAATTCTAAACACATAGACTGTATATACAGATTTTTTGAACCCACAAATAAAAAACAACCTACAAAAAAAAAAAGACAGTGAGTTGAAGCCTTGTCATTGTCTAAGTCACACCAGCTGGGCTTGTCTTGGAGACCTGCCCCTGCTCAGTTCCGTTCCTGTTCTCCTGGCCCTGGGTGGCCCCTACTCATCCTCTGTGGCGGATGTCAGCATCCCCTTGTCGATCAGATGAGACTGCAGCGTGTTGAAGATGTGGAGCTGCTGATCTGGCCGTAAGGTCAGGAACTGCTGAATCAGTTTGCTTGGGTTAGGGCCTCTGGAACAGAATGTGAATAAACAGCACTGAGCTGGGGCCTGGAAGCTTCTAGGGCCTGATTATCCAAGTGGCTGCTCTGATCTCTAGATCGGAGAGCAATCTACTACCAGACGGCAGGAGGAAACCTCAGAAAATCCATAAGCAGTAACAACTGAAAATTGCATTATTTGGGATGCTTTTCACTGGAACTTAGATGTTACTAGAATTCTAGAATTGCCCCATACTTAAACATCCACCAATTGGTTCATATGGAAAGGCACTATACCTGATAAAACTGGCGATGTATACATTGACAAAAGTGGCCATCAGATACTGGCAGTCAAAGCGATCCATGATCCCTCCATGGCCAGGAATGGTATTGGCAAAGTCCTGTTAGAGGCAGGGGAAGGAGGGGTGAACTGGGGCTCAGCCACTGACCAATCCCAGCCTAATGGTCCCACCCTGATGTCTGGCTTCTGTCCTGAGTAGCAGAGGGCAACAGAAGGTGAGAAGTATTAAATCTAATGGTCAGGTTATGTTAGGACACAATTTTATTGCATTACAAAAGACAGGGGTCTTGCTATGTCGCCCAGGCTAGTTTCTAACTCCTAGTCTCAAGTGATCCTCCTACCTTGTCTTCCCAAAGTTCTGGGATTATAGACATGAGCTACTGCTTAGCCCAAAATGTTATTTTGAAGAAAGATATATTAACAAATAAACTGAAAAACAACTATTGCATTTTCCTGAAAATAAAGTATTTTTATTTAACTCACCTAAATTCAGTGCAAGGGTCAAGAAGATTAATTGCCAGGGTGTACAGCCTCGTATTTTGGAAGCGTGAGGAAATGGGGAGAAAGGCAGAAGACAGATGAGAAGGGAGATGAGAGGAATGCTAAGAGTTTTCTTACTTTGATTTTAAATGCTCGCTTGAATCCACTTGCAAAGAATCCTCCAAAGGGGCCAATGAGCGAGGCAAAAGTAGAGAGGGCGATGCTGTGAATCTGGAAGGGGTACATCCGGACCGTTTTCTGAGAAGAGTAAATGAAGTGAAAGTCAAGGTGCATACATGCCCAGTGCTACAGTTTGAGTTGTCAACTCATGTTGAAATTTGATCCCCACTGTGGATTCATTGGGAGGTGACGCCTAGTGGCAGGTGTTTAGGTCACAGGGGCAAATCCCTCATGAATGGCTTGGTGCCTTTCTCGTGGTAGTGAGTCCTCTCTGTGAAGAGACTAGATTAGCACTGGCAGGAATGTAGCCAAGGGAATGGGTTGTTATGAAGTGATGAAGCCCCTGGTTTTGCCTCTTTGCATGTGTCTACTTTCACCTTTGACCTTCTCTGCCAAGTTACAATGCAGCACATAAAGTCCTAACCAGAGGCCAGGCAGCAGCCAGTACCACACTTCTTGCCCTTCCCAGACTGCAGAAACAAGCTAAGTAAACCTCTTTTCTTCATAAATTACCCAACCTCAACCCTAGACAGAAAAAGACATCCAACCTCATAACAATGACACTAATTATATTTATGTAGCTTTTTAAATCAATTAAGAGGAGTGGATTTTTCCCATTTTTGTGAATCTCTAATATCTAAGTTAATGGAAAACATTAAGATATTCTGCATTCAACTTGTTGCAACATGATGTTTTGGTAGAAGTATATAAAGAAAATACAGCCTTACACAGATACATAGTTGAAAAAGGAGTATTTTAGTAGTAGTCTCAGATGGTTTTGGGTATTCTCTGACACTACACCAGAGATTGACAAGTAGTCATTTCTTGAGTATTAGGTGTGTATGGATCTGGAATTCCATCAATGGACTTTTGTTCTCTCTTACATTAAAACCCACTGGTCTATCTTATACTTGAATGACTTTCACCTATGTATGACAATATAGCACAATGCATTGGTCATTTAGAACATAATGGTTCACTGAGTTATGTAAATCTTTCAAATGTAGACACATTTCATTATACAGTATCAAATGTGTTTTTTCTCATGTGAACACACACACACACACACACACACAAACACAAACACACACACGTTAAGAATCGTCACAGACGTCATCAGAAAAGGCTTTAAGGTCACAGACCTCATCAGAAAAGGCTTTAGAAAGTATTAGAAAGCTGCCAAGCTCATAGCGGCAGGTTAAGCTTTCCAAAATTCTAATTTTCATCTGAAAGTCAAATTTTATCTTGGTAACAATTACTGGCAGTCATTTTTTTTTCTAGACAGAGTCTCACACTGTCACCCAGGCTGGAGTGCAGTGGTGTGATCTCGGCTCACTACATCCTCTGCCTCCTGAGTTCAAGCAACTCAACCTCCTCAGTAGTTGGGATTACAGGCACACACCACCATGCCCAGCTAATTCTTTGTATTTTTAGTAGAGACAGGGTTTCACAATGTTACCCAGGCTGGTCTGGAACTCTTAACCTCAAGTGATCAGCCTTCCAAAGTGCTGGGATTTCAAGTGTGAGCCACCATGCCTAGCCTCAGTCATTTTCTTTAAAGTGACAGGATTACTTCATTCTTTTCAAGAAAAATGCCCAAGTCTGAAAAATCATAATTTGTTGGTTCTTTCCAAGTAAAATTTACTTTCTTTTTTAGAAAAAAGCAGCTAATTCAGTTCACAGCTCAAATAACTGCACAGAGGCATTCCCTTAAGGCAAGCACTGTACTGCAGTACTTAGCAGAAATGTTTTAGACATACTTCCCATTTCAGTAGAGAGTATTAAAGAGGTGTGTATGCAAAGGTCAAGATTTAACAAAATTAGTAACTTTACTATTTCATGGACATTCATAAGAAGAACTGGCCCGTTTGTACTGTGAGTGTGTGGCATGAGGAACCCACTGCCTTAACTCACACGAAGGCACCAGCAGTTTTAACCACTGCTGCTTTTGTACCCTCAACACATTGGAAAAGGCAAATAATGTTATAGTCTAATTATGAAATAGTTGTGACCTCACAGAGCCCCCGCCATACCCCTGCAACTAAAAGCATCCCAGAGCCCTCCAGGGATCCACAGAACAAACTTTAAGAACCACTGGTCTACGTGATCTGATGTTGGGGGAAAGCTATAGCTATTGTTGGAGGAAAGCTATAGTTATATAGCTGTATCACCTGCCCATACCCTGACCTGGCGTGAGCAATTCTCCTTCATCCTGGAGCTTACAGCTTTGGGAAGGGGGAAGCTAGCTTTTTTTGGAGGGCAGGTGGTGGAGGGAGATCTCTCTTTGTAGCTACTGTCCACAGAGGCCACTCGCCCCCTGTGAGTGGCACATACCCAGCCAATGACTGACTGGATCACCCCAGGAATGTTGTACTCCTGCAAGCGAAACAGGTCTGAGGGCTCACAGTCCACAGTGAAGCTGTTGGTGTCGTTGTTGTACTCCACAGGGCAGACAAAGCATCTGTACCCGGACATCACGTAGGACAGCTGAGGAGGAATAAGAGAGAGACCGGCAAGGAGATAAGTTCGAGCCATCCAGCCTAGACACAGGCACCTAGCTAGGCCATGTTTCTCAGGGTGCCCAGTGCCCTGCTAACTGCAAGCTATGTGCTCAGAGGTTTGTGTTTTACCATATATATTTTATCTCAAAAAAAAAAAAAAAAAAAAAAAGGCTCATGACCCATCAAGGTCATACATAGGCACCCAAACACCCAGGCCCTGAAAGAATCCAGAAAAACCTGAAGGGATTGGGACAAAAAACTACAACAAGATTCTCCCCATTTGGGAAGCTATGACCACTTTCCTCAGGATCTCTGAACTCAGTGATAGCTGGAGAGAGGCTGTTGGGGAGGGGCACAGCGAGAGGCAGACCTCAGGAGGAACAAGGCTGGAAAGCAGCACGGCTAGGCACTGAGCACCGAGGGGCAGCCAGACAGCACTGAAGAAGGGGGACTGGCCCAAGGGTCAAAAGCAGAGAATGGTGCTCTGGAAAGGGCAGGAAGATCACCCACCCTGCTCTGGGCAAGGCACATGTAGGAGAAAAGCTGTGTATCTCACTTTCCCTCGGGTGCCCTCATCCTGACCCTGGAACATCAAATGCCTGACAAGAAGGCTACCTGCTGATGCATGGGCATGAGAGGGCATTGAAGGTGCTCTCCAATTGCTAGCACTCTGCCTCAAAGCTGGTGGATGGCTGATGAGGCCAGTGGCCCTGTTCAGAGCAAGGGTGCCGTTGGACAACCTTGGCCTCCAGAAACAATCTCCAGCTCTGGACAGGCCTTAGAAGGTGGGGTGATGCTTCTATCCACCCACTCCCTCACCCGGCTGGAAGCCACCACCTACCAGAAGGCCAAACACCACAGTAGCAAAGAAGCCCCCAATGAAGCCTTCCCAGGTCTTCTTCGGGGAGAGCTGTGGACAGAGAGCAAGAACTCTCAGCAAAGGGTGTTTCAATAACTACAGCTTTGGGAACAATGATTACTTGTTAAGAACATTTATTTCATGAAACCCCATTCTCTTAACCATCTCACCTTCTACAACTCCCCTGAATATGGTTTCCTTGTCCCCTTCCTGAAACCCTCCCTTTGGTTCCCTCTCTGTTTCAGTCAGTCATTCAAATAGTTTTATATTAGAGAACTATATACTAATTAAATGACTACACTCAAATCCAGATCAAAGTCCCAAAAAATGTGTCTATATAATCTGTAAAAATATTTTCCTTTCTTCTTTTTTCAAGAAATGATCTTGCCCCATCACCCAGGCTGGAGTGTAGTGGCACTATCACAGCTCCCTGCAGCCTCAACCTCCTGGGCTCAAGAGATCCTCCCATCTCAGCCTTCCAAGGAGCCGGGACTACAGGCGCATGCCACCACCATGCCTGGCTAATTTTTAAATATTTTAGTAAAGGCACAGCCTCACTATGCTCCCCAGGGTGGTCTTGAACATCTGGCCTCAAGCAATCCTCCTGGCTCAGCATCACAAAGTGCTAGGATTGCAGGCATAAGCCACCATGCCTGGCCTACTTTCTTTATTATCTTTTTTTTAATGAGTTGTCAGTGTTTTCCTTTGGCCTTTCTCTAGGATGACATGAAGACATGGCCACAATACACACAGCTAGATTTCTTCTGTCTGCCAGGCTGATCTACTCACACTGAGAGCACCACCCTCCCCTCACAGTGATTATTTCACATTAGGGTAATCCATCTACCTTGATGAGTGGGGTCCGACCAAAGAAAAAGCCAAACATATAGGCCATGATGTCATTACAGATCACACAAGATATGGGGACAATGAACCTAGAAATGAAACAAAGTAAAGATCAACTCGACCAAGGTGACAGTGCCTCAATAGTACACAAAACAGTGCTGTTCTTAACTTCCAGTACCAAAATCACCCATAAAATTCTGGTAACCCATTAAGGAGTAAGTTAAAAATATAAAAAATACCGAAACAGTCGTACCTAGTACCTGGCACAGAGTACACATTCAAGTGTTCACTGAATGAATACTGAATAAGTGGAGGTGGCAATCTATAAAAGGTCAATTGTCCTTTTTTCATGATAAAGTAATATATGCAAACAATAATAGAAATTTAATTGTAAAAGGAAAAAAAAGTTTTCTTTCCCCCATCCCTATCTCCATTCCCAAAAATAACCACTTTTAATCATTTCTAACTTTTATTTTTCTAGTAGTTAGCTCCCCAATTCTAAATAATATACTTTAATGTCTATTTCATTATTTACTGACTTTTGTTGCTGTTTATCACTAGCTGTAGTGAGCCCTACCTTTCCCTAGGACTGTACTGAGAGTGAAACCCCAACATGCACAGCTAGATTTCCTGTCTGCCCACTCCCCTGCTGATCCAGTCACCCTCACTACGAAAGAGAAGGTGGTTTCCACACTTGCACTCTCTCTCTCCTCATTCTCCACTCTCTGATGCTTTTTAAAAACTTCTTCGATTACAGGGGTTTTTCATTTATTTGTTTGTTTGTTTGTTTTGAAACAGAGAGTCTCCCTCTTTCCCAAGCTTGACTCACTGCAACCTCTGCCCCCCAGGTTCAAGCAATTCTCCTGCCTCAGTCTCTTGAGTAGCTGGGATTACAGGCATGCGCCAGTATGCCCAGCTGTTTTTTTGTATTTTTAGTAGAGACAGGCTTTTGCCGTGTTGACCACGCTGGTCTTGAACTCCTGACCTCAAATGATCTGCCCACCTCGGTCTCCCAAAGTGCTGAGGTTACAGGTGTGAGCCACTGTACTTGGCCTGATTACAGTTTAATATAATACTATATACATAAATCCAATGTCCTAGCCCATCAACCACAGGTAGCATTTCCTGGCTTCCTGTTCATTAAGGAAGGGAATGAGCATCTGTATCCTCCTTACTCCATTCACCTCCCAGTCCCCACAGCACGACTTTATCAAGCCTTCTAGCACATAGCCTCTGTTCTGTAACTATCATTATATTTATATTTATATAACATATATTATTTATATTTAAAATGTGTATAATTTACAATTATAGAACAGAGTCTATGTGCTAGAAGGGTGAGTTTGAAAACCATTAATTATGAAGATTTTAATATTATTCGCTATAGAACAAAATGGTATGTTTGGCCCTAAAGATAAGAACATAGCACATGCCAGTCTTACAAAATACCTAACAAAAAATGCTGAAAGAGGAGTTACTTGCCTCCACAGGCCATTATAATTGTTTTAAATGCCATAATGCTTAAGCTAATATGAGTTGGCCTCAGTTCTAAATACTTTACACATAATATTTAATAATTTACTCTTTAGGAGGTGGGCATTACTGCATCTGAACTCTGAGATCTTGAAACAGGCAAATCTGGGATCTTAACCACAGTACTTAAGAGCCTATCTCTTATATACACTAGCATATACCTTTACTTTTTTTTTTTTTTGAGACAGAGTCTCGCACTGTTGCCCAGGCTGGAGTGCAGTAGCGCAATCTCGGCTCACTGCAACTTCCATCTCCTAAGTTGAAGCAATTCTCCGGCCTCAGCCTCCTAAGTAGCTGGGATTAGAGGCACCTGCCACCACACCCAGCTAATTTTCTGTCATTTTAGTAGAAATGGGGTTTCACTATGTTGGCCAGGCTGGTCTTGAACTCCTGACCTTGTGCTCTGCCCGCCTCAGCCTCCCAAAGTGCTGGGACTACAGGCATGAGCCACCAAACCCAGCCTTTTACCATTTCACTAAGGTCATCTAGCTGCTTCAGTTGGCTGGTGATTTCTATCAATGCTGATAGACTTCCCATTGAAACCACTGCATTTTTGGAATAAAATCTACTCAGTATTTGCATATTATTCCCTTGACACACTGCCAGATTCTTTTTACTAATATTTCATTTAGAATGATTTATCTATAATTGCAGCAGAAATGGGTTTGTCATTCCTGCTTCTCTCTCCTCATCAGCTTTGGTATAAAGGTTAGATAAAACTCAACTATATTAAAAAAAAAAAAAAAAAACTCAGCTATAAACCCATTTGGTCCTGTTTCTTTTTTCAGATATGGAATCTTACATAATTTTCAAAGCCCTTTTACAGATATTGATCTACTCATGTTTTCTTCTTCATAACTTTTAGTATTCATTTTGCCAGGAAATCATAAATATTTCCTCTAGGTTTTCAAATTTATTGCCATACATGTTGCATTGTCTTTGAGTCTTTAAATATTCCTGTACCTGTTAGCCTAGAACAGTGTGGTTCTTAGGGCGAGGGTCCTGTCCAGCAATATCACCACCACCCAGGAATGTACTAGAAATTCAAATTCTCAAACCCTACTCCAGATCTTCTGAATAAAAAACTCAGGGGTGGGGCTCAAAAATGTGTGTTGTAATGAGTCCTGCAGAAGATTCTTATGTGGCTCAAGGTAAGAGCCATTAGCTTACAGGTAATTGTACATGAGAAATACTCACAAAATAAAGGGCAAGATCCATCCCCTCAACACTCACCAGATCATTCCTTCAAATAGGTTGTGGATCACAAGATGTGACTGTGTTACAACAATAAGTAACGTCACATGGGTCCAGCCAAACTGCAAAAGAAGAGAAATAGAAATAAACATTACTTACTAGTTTACCTTGAAAGTAACTTCAAAAAACAATCAGTACCAAATAGAAAATTGCTGAGAAACAGGTAGGAAAAACATCTGCTTTTGTATATGACTTATTGAAAGTGAACAGGTAAGATCAGGCTTCTGAGAGTAACACTTTGTTCCCCCTAGTTTGGGGTGTATTTTTCATTTTCTTAGTAGCTACTGAGCACTTGGAGCACTCAGAGAGGAGCTGTTCTTAGGGAACAAGCGATACCAAGTGATGTACCAGACAGGACATCTGAGGGCAATGTCCGAAGCTTCAGCTTGAGCCTTCTCTGGAGCCCACCTCAGGGTCCTAGCAGAGAGGCTGCTTAAGGTGTAAGTTAAGTAGCAGTGACTGGGCCTAAGTCATTGCAGAGCCATTAAACCTAAATGGGTATTCCTCCTTCATGCTCTAGATGTATACAAATCAGACCATGTTCCAGGGTTTTCATTTGTCACAGAAAGCATGAAAGGCCTGTTGAGCTCCTGAAAAACTTCATTTAAATCAAGAGTTCTAACATGCGCACACAAGCGCACATGCACACACACACACAATTTCCCTTACCATGTAGAACTGCAGTCGATAATGCTTCTTGACCAGACTCAGTACAAACATGCAGAATCCTAGTTTGAGGTGGGAGCAGAAAGGAAAAATGAATTATATTCTGCATTTATCTTAGCCCTCTGTGAGCTATATTAAGTGGTTGTTAGCTAATTTATTCCCAGCAGCTAACCAGTGCACAATGTCAAAACCCAGGGGAGGAAAACATTATCCAGATAAACAGTCACAAGGAAAAAATAACTCCTCCAAAACAGTAAAAGGAAGGCAATATTGTATAATCTTGCAGACCACACTAAACTTAGGACATAGTTCATCAGATAGGAATGTTTTATTCCGAGAACAGGGGCCAGCAAACAGTGGTGAAACCAGCTGCTTGTTTTTAAAAATAAAGTTTTATTCAAACACAGTTAAGTCCATTTGTTTACATATTGTCTATGGCTGCTTTCAAGCTACAGCTCAGCAGAACTGAGTACAGTCATGTTCTGAACAACGAGGTTCTGGTCAACAACAGACCACATGTACAAAAATGGTTCCCTAAGATGATAATACCCATTAGACTGTAATACCATAAGATTTACTAATTACCATATGGTACCTTTTCTATGTCTAGATACACAAGTACTTACTATTGTGTTATAAATGCCTACAGTATTTATTTGGTAAAGTAACACGCTACACAGGTTTGTACTGTAGGAGAAATAGACTACACCTTATAGCCTAGGTGTGTAGGAGGCTATACCATCTAGGTCTGTGTAAGTACACTATGATGTTTGCACGATGACAAAATCCCTACAATGCATTTCCCAGAAGGTATCCCATCGTTAAACGACACATGATTGTAATTGCAAGAGAGACTCTATGGTACCCAAAGTCTGAAATATCTACTGTTTGGAACTTTAATGAAAGTTTGCTGGCTGCTGTGCCTATAGAGTAGCAATTCTTTTATTCCTTTACTTTTTTAATAGACTTGCTTTCACTTTACTCCATGGACTCACCCCAAATTCTTTCTTATATGAGATCCAAGAACACTCTTGAGGTCTGGGTCTGGACCCCTTTTTGGTAACATCTTTCTGGTGAACCCCAAAGGGACAATACTGAGGAGACCCCCCAACCCAAAGGAAATAGGCTGCAGCACTGATTGGCTGACTTTGGGTTTTTTCTGCAATTTAGACTGACTACTTATTCCTGTGAACCAACCAGTGATCTCTGGCTGCAGCTCAGAAGAAACGAGGGACTGGTGATGTAGAAACTTGAATCAGTATTCTAATTCTGGGAACATATTGCAGTCAGCTACTGACCCCATATCAGCTTGGTTCCGACAATTGCCTAGTTCATGGAAAGCCTTCTTATTTAGTTTACTTGGGATAGTTTTGCTTATTTTGCTTTACTCTTGTGGAATATATTACTGTTGTACTCTGTGTAGGAATGCAGGATAAGCTTACTCAATGTTCTCTTAAACACTTATTAATCTTCCAGATATCACCTTGTGTCAGAGTTGTGAATGGCCGTCACCATACTGACACTTTCTGACTGAGCTCCTCTCAACCCTGAATACAAGGGATCTTTTTTTCTTTTTTTTTTTTTTTTGAGATGGAGTTTCGCTCTCGTTACCCAGGCTGGAGTGCAATGGCACAATCTCGGCTCACCGCAGCCTCCGCCTCCTGGGTTCAGGCAATTCTCCTGCCTCAGCCTCCTGAGTAGCTGGGATTACACGTGCCACCATGCCCAGCTGATTTTTTGTATTTTTAGTAGAGACGGGGTTTCACCATGTTGACCAGGATGGTCTCGATCTCTTGACCTTGTGATCCACCCGCCTCGGCCTCCCAAAGTGCTGGGATGACAGGCGTGAGCCACCGCGCCCGGCCCCTACAAGAGATCTTGATAGTTGGGCAGGACTATCATCACCCCTATTCAGCCTGAAGAAGTTATAGAAGATGGTTCATCCCTCTGCAACTTTTAGGATTAAGAGTTCTCTTATAAAAGTGAGGGAGGAAATGTCAGAGGCATTCGAACTATAGCAACTCCATTTTGAATAGGAGATGGGTAAAATCAGGCTGAGACTTACAGGGTCTGCATTCCCAGACGGTTAGACATTCTAAGTCACAGGATGAGATGGGAGGTCAGCACAAGATACAGGTCATCAAGACCTTGCTGATAAAACAGTTTGTAGTAAAGAAGCCGGCCAAACCCCTCCAAAACCAAGATGGCAGTAAGAATGACCTCTGGTCATCCTCACTGCTACACTCCAACCAGTACCATGGCAGTTTACAAATGCCATGGCAACATCAGGAAGTTGGCCTATATGGTCTAAAAAAGGGAGACATGAATAATTCACCCCTTATTTAGCATATAACCAAGAAATAACCATAAAAATGGGTAACCAGCAGCCCTTGGGGCTGCTCTGCCTATGGGGTAGCCATTCTTGTATTCCTTTACTTTCTTAATAAAATTGCTTTCCCTTAAAACAAAACAAAACAAAACAAAACAAAAAGTTTGCCAACACCCGTCCTAGAGAATAGGGCTGGGAGAAGATGGATCTACATGGTATAGGGTCAAGACTACCTTTTTATATCTCTCATAGTGACCTAGGTGGTAGCAAAACATGTCTGCAGACCCCTTTTCCAGGAAGGAGAGGAATCTTTATCCATAAATATGCAGAGCCCCTCAAAAGCAGTCCTACCCAGAAATAAGCATGCCACTGTTCCAGACCCTCACCTCCCCCTGAGGAAGGCTGCTTTCAGGGTCTGCAACATGCTCTCTGAATATCCTCAATGGCAGCAGACCCCTTCGAAGTAGATTTTGATAGCCAGGTATTTTTTATTTTTAATAAACAGATATCATTCACAGAAGTATTGCTATCAAGCTGATCAAAAATAGGTCAGACTGACATTGAGGTCAGAACAAATTTTTCATGCACCTCAAAAACTAGCTTTGAAGGCAACTATGAAAAACTATCAGCATTATTAGAATTAGTACCCAGGCTTACCTGAGTTTATATTAATATAACGCTTTAATGTTTGTGAAGTTTTAATGTATTTGATTTAATCCTCACAGTAACCCTGCAGTTTTAGCTCTAGATTACAAAAGAGCTAACTGAGACTCAGAAAGATTAGGGTTCTAGCCCCCACTGAGGTTGCAGAGTCTTCTTAAGCCCAAATCCAATAAAATTTCCACCATGGTACAATGTTACCCAAGGTAGTCTCCTAAAATGACTCCCCTAAAGATGGTAAGTTCTCAGATGATTTTTGTTTCAGTCCCACAGCAGAATCTTTGCCAACAGGAGAGTCAGGACACAACCATGCTGTGCTATTCTTCAATGGTGGCTAAAACACAGAGGCAGGTGGCACACACTACAGTCCCACCCTTCACACTCCATTTCTCTTAAAAGAGCTGCTACAAGACTGGGCATTGTGGCTCCTTGGGAGGCCAAGGCAGGCGGATTACTTAAGCTCAGGAGTCCGAGATCAGCCTAGCTAACATGGTGAAACCCCGTCTCTACTAAAAATACAAAAATTAGCTGCACGTGGTAGTGTGCACCTGTGGTCCCAGCTACTTTGGGACCTGGGAGGATTGCTTTAGCTCGGGAGGCAGAGGTTACAGTGAGTTGAGATTGTGCCACTGCACTCCAGCCTATGTGACGGAGTGAGACCTTGCCTCAGGGGGAAAAAAAAAGGGAAAGAGCTACTACAGCTCAACATAGAACATTGGCTCTGCTCCCCTCCATGGTCAGAGTTAATATCACAAAACTGTGCACTAACCAAGAAATTCCCAAATTCCTACTTGACAGATATACAAAAACAATACAGACACAAGAAGTGGTGAACTACATAATGCATACCTATTAGATAGAGAGTAAAGGAAATGAACCGGTGGTATTTACTGAGAATCCGCAAAGGCTCTTCTCTCTGGACCAGGGTGAAGAAGTAATCTGTCACTGTCTCACCATAGAAGAAATAGTTTACACACAGGAGGAAGTACCTGTAAATGAAAACAGGTCATTGCTGCAGGGAGCACCCTTGCCTTTACAGCAAGACAGTCAGACATCGCTGAGGAGGGGACAGAGGGCAGCAGAATGTCCCCTTCCCCCCCCCCCGCCCTTTAGCCCCGCAGGACAGCTCACAGAGGGACAGGCGGACCACAGTTTCCTGCTCTCTGGTGACACTGCACTTGAGAAATTTATCTAGAAACAGGTAGCAGCTTTCATTCACTCTCCATTTCTCTGAAACTTGAGACTCTGTTTTTGCCCCTTTTGTAGCATTCCCATACCTAACTGAGGGATCCTTGAACCATACCACCTTCAAAAACATGCCTCATCCTGCTTCCCAGTCTCATTTCTACTCTTCCCAACAGGAACCGCTCCACTCCTACCAAAATGGTTTCTTCCGGCTTTGCTGCCTGTCTGCTGTTCTCCTGCCTTTTTCCTGCTCCTGACATTCTCTTCGCTTCTCCATTTTTTTTCACTCCTTGCTCAAATCCCATTTTATTCATAAAACTTTGGAAGACCTAACATGATATCTGCCTTCCTTGCATTTATTTCTATAGCAAGTAATATGTGATTATCTGACTAAGCAATTAATGATGCATTTCCCTCTCTGAAGCCTGGCTCTGACACACAGACCATCCGCTAGTGCTAACTCTTCACTTGTTTATCCTCTCTCCTCAACTGGTGTCCGTGAGAAGAGAAGCCATCCCTTATAGCCTCCACAGTGCTGCTGAGTATGAGACCATGCAGCCACCACTGCAAACCCCCAACAAGGATCCTGAGATAGAGAAGAAAGTGGAGAGCTTTTCTTTCCCATTCTTTTTTTAATATAATTTTGAAATACAAAAATTCCCATATTGGGTTTATTTTCTGTTACATGGAAAAAACTTTCTTTGGACAGTGACCACAGCCAGGAGTCAGGCCTCCTAAGTATGTTAACAAAATCCAAAACACTGCTTTCCAGCTATAGAATAGGCACAAGAGGGACCTGCATCTTAAGCCAGGTGGCAATCACAGTTCCATTTAGAGGCTGGGAGGCAGCCTGTACTGTTGGGTGATGGGAAGCACCTCAGGAAGGGGATGCCCAGCTTACATCTGAGCATATCGACTTCCTTGACCGCGACCAGGTTGCTGGGGCAAAAACCACTACTCTCCAGCCGGCTAAGTCGTGGTCTCAACCCCTGTATTCCTGCACAGTGGGGTGAAAAGGTCTGCATTTGCCCCAGTCTTCTCAGTATTTAAAGTCACTACCTGAGAATACTACAGCCAATAAAGCAGAGGGTTTCAGATCAGAAAGGGGTCTCACACATGTACTACAGGGTTTTCTTTTGTTTTTGCTTTAAGAAAGCTGAGTCCTTTCCTAGGAAACGGAAAAAGCTAACTTTCCCAATGGAGCCCAGATCGCATGCATTCAGTCTCACTCCTGCCCACCCTGGCACTCAAAATACTTCTGATGAACTAGGGCTCCAACACCACAGTCTGGAAACCACTAAGTCTCAACCATCTGTCTTAGAGACAAGGAAACCAAGTTGCAGGGATAACAAGCAAAGCCAGCAGCAGAACCTAACCAACTCCCAGACAGCTCTAGCGGGATGCTGAGATATGACAGCATGAAAAATATGCTGATCTAGAAAAACAGGATCATCGTGCAGAGTTTAAGGAATCCAAATACCGAGGCAAACATAGTCATAGAATACAGTCCATCTGGTTTCTTCTCAGGAAGCTTCCAGACTCCAGGTAACTATTAAAGATTCCTCCAAGGCTGACCACACAATCTGGCCTATGAAATACTCAGGTCTTAAAGGTACTGTGCAAGTCTGTGGCAATCATTCCATCTCCTTTTCTCCTGCCTTTTTCTTGCTCCTAACATTCTCTTCACTTATCCATTTTCTCACTTGTTGCTCAAAGGCTATTTTCTTCATAAAACTTTGCATGATCTAACATGGTAACTGCCTCCCCAGCACTTATTTCTATAGCAAGTAACAGAAATACCCACCGTCACTGTAAACACCTGCCACAAAGCGCATTATCCAAATTCTAAGGGCCTCTGTGGGGCCAGAGAGCTTACCAGCTGAGGGTCCTGAACCAGGGCAGGTCATAAGAGTGGTAGACGTTGTAGCCAATAGTGATTATCTCATGGAAACACTTAATCTGAACACACATCACCTGCAGGACACAAAACATCCAATGATACCCCAATTCTTATGATTTTTGGAAATGGAAACCAACAGGTCATGAGCCCTCCAGAAAACCCATTATATTTAAGAAAAACATCAGGCCTCCAATGGTTCTGCTTGCCTCATCCTTCCACTCTCACATCATCCCACAGAGCGATGCAGCCCTCTACGTCACAGGGAGTAGATCCAATTTTCCACTCACAATAAAATATACAACCTGATGTTTCAATTAACTTTTTTTTAAGACAGGGTTTCACCATGTTGCCCAGGCTGGTCTTGAGCTCCTGGGCTTAAGCAATCTACCTGCCTCAGCCTCCCAAAGTGCTAGGATTACAGACGTGAGTCACTGCATCCAGCTAAAAATATTTTTTTTTTAAGTAGAAATGCGGTCTCCTCTTCTTTCCCAAGCTGGTCTCAAAATCCTGGGCTCATGCAATCCTCCTGCCTTGGCCTCTCAAAGTGCTGGAATTAGAGGTGTGAGCCGCCGTGCCTGGCCCTCAATTAACTGTTTATTCTAGAACCTCCAAGGACTCAACCAATCCATTCTCCTGATGACTTTGAATACTTGAAAAATCTCAACTGCTTTGCTCGCATGCAGCTGATGGTCACTTGACCCTGTCCAGGACAGGGGGAAGACAGAGAAAGCAGCTCTGTGGACTGGGATTTCTTAATAAAAGCTCTAAGCCCTGGAGGGAGGCCCCAGGAAAACAAGAAACAAAACCAGGAGTCACACAGAGACATGGCCAGGGTAAAAGTTTACAGTTGGAATAACAAAGTCAGTTTTTTAAATGAAGACACATCATCAACCATAAACAACTTGCCTATCCCAGAGACCCTCCGGGTGGCTAGTGAAAAGTAAAAAGTCACAGATGTTCTATGGCAGAGGTTTTTTGAGGAGCCTGGACCCCCATCAATTCCCACAACCAACCCAACACCTGGCACTTAAGACAACCAGGCCTATAGCAAAAACTGAAGGGAAAACTAAAATAGTGTGAAATGGCACTTACGATTATCATTAAAACCATTGGTCCCAGGTAAATGATGATGAAGAAAAATGCAATCATGGCCAAAGTCAGGATGCCTCTCACCCACCAGTTCTTCCATCTAGGTCAGAGAGTAGGGGAAGGAGAAAACACCAGTTAGGAACCCAGAAAGAACGAATGCACAAACTCAAGGGATATGGATCTTCCTGATATTTGAGGGCCCTGAACTCAGTCCTTTCCAGATTCATCTTGCTGGAAGCACCAGCCACATGCTGGCAGGAGCAGGGCCACTAGTACCAATGCCTCACCCACAACCAGACTCGCCAGAAAAATACACCCAGCTTATATCTTAAAGAAGGTATCAGGCAAAAGCCAAACAAAAAAACCAAGGGAAATATAGTGCCCTCTGCATCTGCATCCACTTGAATGGTTTCTACAGCTGACTAGCTGAAGAAAAAAAACATTTTCTTCTGGCAGCAGGATCCTAAACTGTACTGCCATGAATAATTATGGGAATAAGAGTAACATTATGCAATGATAATAACAGCTACCACAAATATGCATAAGGTACTTTTATGAGGACTTTACATATATTAACTCCTTCAATCCTCAACACACTTCGCTTTTACAGATGAGGAAATGGAGGCACAGGTCGAACAGCTGGCAAATAGTAAAGCTAGGATCTGAATCCAGGGATCTGGCTGCAAAGTCCACACCCTTAATCACTGTACAATTCAGCCTCCCAAGGGGACATCTGGAGGCACACACAGGAACATTTAGATAATGCTTTGGGGTCTTATAATTTGTTTTTGATCCACCCACAAAGCTGTGTTAGAAGGACCAAGTTCTTGCCGGGTGCGGTGGCTCAAGCCTGTAATCCCAGCACTTTGGGAGGCCGAGGCGGGTGGATCACGAGGTCAAGAGATCGAGACCATCCTGGTCAACACGATGAAACCCCGTCTCTACTAAAAATACAAAAAATTAGCTGGGCATGGTGG